GCTGAGGTTGTAAAGGGAGGCCAGAAGTAGATCATGCAGAAACCTGTGGCCATTCTGAGGACTTTTTAGCTGAGGAAAGCCACTGAGGCGGAAGAATAACATGACTCAATGTATTTTATTAAAATGACTACTCTGAAATTCATGTGCAGAATTGATTGGAAAGGAACATGAATAGAATGGAGAACTGTTAGGAGCCTCTGAATGCAGATGAGGAGGGGAAGAAAGTGGATCAGCTTAGGTAGTGGAGATGGAGAGAAATATATGGATTCAAGCAAAGTCAGTGGGGTCAGAATCAATATGACTTTCATCCATCAAGTCCAGCAGAAATTCAAATTAATAAATTTAAAGCAAAAGTCAAATCCCACATAAATTTTTCTATGAGTTATTACCTAATATTTGACTGCTTAATATGGGCTTCCCAAGCAACCCAGTGGTAAAGATTCTGCCTGCCAATGCAGGAGATGCAAGAGACACAGTTTCGATCCCTGGGTCAGGAAGATCCCTTGGAAGAAGATATGGAAACCTGCTCCAGTATTCTTGCCTGGAAAATTCCATGGACAGAGGAACTTGGCAGGGTACAGTCCATGGGGTTGCAAAGAGTTGGATATGACTGAGCACATGCACTTACTGCTTAATAACCTTTTCACTTTTTCTAAAATGACTCTCCACAAACATATGAACTCTAGTGTTCCTTGGTGTCCAGAGGAAGAAAACAGAGGAATAATGTTCTGAACTTTTCTTTGACTAAATGTGTGAATTATCAAGCTTTTTATAAAACCATCCCTTACATAACTAAGAGGCTTCCCCGGTAGCTCAGACAGCGAAGAATCTACCTACAGTGTGGGAAACCTGGGTTCAATTTCTAGGTAGGGAAGATCCCCTGGAGAAGAGAACGGCAGCCCACTTCAGTATTCCTGCCTGAAGAATATCATGGATAGAGGAGCCTCACAGGCTACAGTCCATGGGGACACAAAGAATCAGACACGACTGAGTGACTAACAGTTCTTCACTTCCCTTACATAACTACAGCACCAAAGAGGTGAACTGAGGTGTAATAGAATACTATATGGGAGGGAGTCCATTGTTGGTTTGTTTCCATTTTATTGTTACTTGTATAGTCATGTAAAAATCTTAAGAGTGTTTTTACCTGGCTACCACAATTATACTGATAATATGCCCATAAGATTGCCAAGGTAAATAATCTAAGGGTGATCCTTCCAAAAGCTAGGCCTATTCTATCAGGTCAGTTTCAAAGATGTTGCAATCAAGGGGTGTGTTTTGAGTGGGATGTTTCCTGTTGTGGTTACATAAACTGTACCACCCCTATGTTAAATACCACGTGTCAACATCTACACTAGGAGAGGCTGGAATGGAAAAAAGGACACACTTGACTGCATATTTTTAAAACTGAGGTCATGCAACGTAGAAGGATTTTCTTAAACGGTAACTACTCCAGAATGCCCTTCTTCAATTGGAGATGTTTCCTCTGCTGCAGGCCTTCCCTGATGGCCCAACGGTAAAGAATCCACCTGCAAAGCAGGAGATGCAGGAGACATGGGTTCAGTCCCTAGGCTGGGAAGATCCCCTGGAGAAGGAAATCACAGCTCACTTCAGTATTCATGCTTGAAAAATCCCGTGAACAGAGGAGTCTGGAGGACTACAGTCCAGGGGTCGCAAGGAGTTGGACATGACCGAGTACAGCACAATCCTCTAGAACAACATTCCTCAAAGTGTGGTCCAGGGGCCATTTGCATGCGTCAGCATCACCTAAAATGCTCACGAAAATACAAGTGCTGATTCAGTGAGTCTTAGCTGAGTCCTTGAGAGGCTTCCCAAGTGGCTCAGCAGTAAGGAAACTGCCTGCCTATACAGAAGCTACGTGGGTTCCATCCCTCGGTCTAGAAAATCCCCTGGCAGAGGAAATGGCAATCCACTCCAGTGTTCTTGCCTAGGATATCCCATGGACGAAGGAGCCTGGTGGGCTACAGTCCATAGGGTCGCAAAGAGCTGAACACAGCTGAGCATGAGCTAAGCCCTTGAACCTGTGTCTTAAACAAGCATTGAGGGAAACCTGATTTATATACACTAGAATTTAAGTACCTTGGAGAAGAAAATGGCAACCCACTCCAGTACCTTTGCCTGGAAAATCCCATGGATGGAGGAGCCTGGTAGGCCACAGCCCATGGGGTCACAAAGAGTCGGACACAACTGAGTGACTTTGCTTGCTTGCTTGCTTACTACAGGATACACTATCATGGCTTGATAAAAACTCTAAGTATATGCAAAGATATCTGGTTTAATAGCCTAATGGCATCAAACTATTTCAACAGAAAGAGAGGTTTTCGGTCAGAAATATAAATCCACTTTTTACTTTGAGGACAGTAACAGTGTTAAGCACATTTAAATCTTTCAAAATCCTCCATTCTTCATAATTTGAAAGCTTACTGTTGGCTGTCAAAACTAAATGGGTCAAAGCAACATCAATTTTCTTTCTTTAGAGGTTTTTGCATACAAAATGGTCTTCAAACTGAAAGTGAGCACAAGGACAGTTAATGTTCTTTTTTCTCTGCAGAGAATGTTCTGTATTTTGATCTAGGTGTTAGTTACAAAGCTGTGTTCTCTTTATAAAAGCTCTTCAAGCTTAACTACTTGATATGTGGACACTTCTCTATACAAAGTTTTCTTCAAAAAATGTAACCTGTCTTTAAAAAAAATTCATTCAAATTATATGAAAATTCTTTAACATGATATTCTTGTCTTTCAAGCTAATAACCCTTATCTGTAAAACTGAAATGGTCATTCTCATATACATGACTTTTGGAAATACAAATTGATGTAAGCCTCCTGGAAAGCATTTTGACAATCAATATTTGTCCAAAACCTCAAAGCAAATCCATTGACCTAGTAATTCTACTTCTAGAATATATCCCAAGGAAGCAAATCTTCAACATAAGAAAAGCTCTATTCCCAAATTCCAAAATATAAACCCAACAAAACAATCACAATAGAGGAACTTTTACTCAAATCTTAATATATCTATATGGGAGTAAGTATACACTGGTGATAAAAGTAAAAAGAAAAGCAAGTAAATAATTAATACAAAATTCTTTCTTAAATTTTATTGATGTATGGTTGATTTACAATATTGTGTTAATTTCTACTATAAAGTGACTCATTTATATATATATATATATATTTCATATTCTTTTCCATTATGGTTTATCACAGGATACTGAATATAGTTACCTGTGCTATATAGTAGGATCTTGTTGTTTACCCACCCTATATATAATAGCTTGCATCTGATACAAAATTTTTGATGCAGCTGGAAAAAGGCACAAAGGGACTCCTAAGAGCCTATTAATATCCACGTTTGGTACATATATAGATAGTCCAATTATCATCATTATTTAACTTTAACATAGACTTTATACACTAACATACACAAATATGTGTTATACTTTACAGTATACACATTTTTATAAAATTCATAACAAATAATATTTACCTAAAGTTTATCAACATGAAACATGTTCAGGTATAATGGTAAGCTGAAATCACCTCAAAACAAAAGAAAAGAGGAATGCGCCTAAACTGATATTTTTTTCATGTGATATAATGACATACCTAGAACTTTCAAAACAGTCAACTGACAATGTTATAGAACCAAACTGGGGTCTGTTGCCTGACACCCAGAAAAGCCAGGTTGTGGTGAAGGAAAGTACAGCATTTACTGCAGGGCATGAAGCAAGGGACTGGAGAAGGAAATGGCAACCCACTCCGGTATTCTTGCCTGGAGAATCCCATGTACAAAGGAGCCTGGCAGGCTACAGTCCACAGGATCTCAAGAGTTGGACACAACTTAGCAACTAAACTACCACCACCACCATCAAGCAAGGGAATGGGAGACAGGTCTCACATTCACTCCAATTTGCTCTGTGTTAGGTGTTTTAAAGGGGATGAAAAGAGAGACTAGGATTAGTGTCATTTTGTGACATTTCTGACATTTCTTCACTGTAGTTTCAGAAATCAGTATGTCTATGGCTCTTGGTAAAGAATGTGCCATGCAGGAGACCCGGGTTCAATTCCTGGGTTGGGAAGATCACCTGGAGAAGGAAATGGCAACCCACTCCAGCATCCAGCATTCTCGCCTGGAGAATCCCAAGGACAGAGGAACCTGGCAGGCTATTGTCCATGGAGTTGCAAGAATTGGACATGACTTAGCGACTAAATTATCTCATCATGGCTTGGGGATGTGTTAGTTCATCTTGCACTGGACAAAAAACCTGAATGTGTTCATTAATGATGATGCCTAATAGTCACCTAACTCTGGTTGATTAGTGTTCAGTTAGCACAGAATTAGCAAGGAGATCAAACCAGTCAATCTAAAGGAAATCAACCCTGAAGATTCATTGGAAGGACCGATGCTGAAGCTGAAGCTTCAATACTTTGGCCACCTGATGCAAAGAGCCAACTCACTGGAAAAAAAAAACCCTGTTGCTGGGAAAGACTGAAGGCAAGAGGATAAGAGGGCAGCAGAGGATGAGATGTCAGATAGCATCACCAGCTCAGTGGACATGAACTTGAGCAAACTCCAAAAGATGATGGAGGCCATAGAAACCTTGCATGCGTCAGTCCATGGGGCAGCAAAAAGTCAGACACAACTGAGGGACTGAACAATAACAGTCCAGTTCAGTTCAGTTCAGTCACTCAGTCGTGTCCGACTCTGCGACCCCATGAACTGCAGCACGCCAGGCCTTCCTGTCCATCACCAGCTCCCAGAGTCCACCCAAACCCATGTCCACTGAGTCAGTGATGCCATCCAATCATGTCATTCTCTGTCGTCCCCTTCTCCTCCTGCCTTCAATCTTTCCCGGCATCAGCGTCTTTTCCAATGAGTCACTTCACATCAGGTGGCCAGAGTACTGGAGTTTCAGCTTCAGCATGAGTCCTTTCAACTGGTTTGATCTCCTTGCAGTCCAAGGGACTCTCAAGANAAGAGTGCTAGACACCAGTGGTCGTAACAACAACTAACAATTTTTGAGGACTATGTACTGAGCACTGTACTAAATGCTGTTTAGTATATTAACTCCCTTAATCCTGAGGGAGATTAGCATTATTATCCTGATTTTAAAGATTTAAAAAAAATCCTAAGGAAAAGATAGGTAACTATGTGAGGTCACACAGCTAATAAGTGACAGAGTCTGGCAGAGTTTGTTCATATAACCAATATATTATATTGCACTAACAATAAGCAGTTAAAAAATGTAATAGGTCACAGGATCTCATTCATAAAACAATAAAGGGTCATTAAAAACACAAGCAAAAATCAAAACAAAATCCTAGCAATAAACCTAACCAAAAAGTCACATTTAAATAAGACCAGACAGGAAGACTCAATAAATTAAATGGATATCATTTTAAAATGTGATTCCAAAATAACAAAAAATTGGAAGGTGAGGGGCATTAAAAGAAAAAAAGTGTTAAGCCTTATCTTAGTTCTCTAGCGAGTCACTTAGGGAACTCTCTGAAGCTTGAACTCCAAAGTTCTCTATTCACACAAAGGTAGCTCAAATCCAGCAGTCTGGTTTGACTACTTCGAGAAAAAGGCACAAGGAGGTCTCAACAGCATGCCATAGAATGAAGCATTCTCTCCACTGCCATCCAGGATCCGAGGCATCAGCACGACAGCCTGGTCAACATGCTTTCACCAAGGTGTGGTCAGGGCAACATTTGGCCACCATTTTCCTGGTAAAGAGAGCAATGCAGGTTGTAATTTTCCAGCTAGACAGGGATAAAAGAATCATCCCTGAGTCCCAGAGTGCATGAAAGGGGCTAGCAGATCAGACCACCACAATCTTCTGTCACAGCGACACTGTTAAGCTGAAGTCTACCATACATCTCCAATCCAGCTCTCCCTACTTATAGATAAAGAAACTGAGGTCTAGAACAGACTTCTCTTCCCAGGTCACAAAATTATTTTAAACTAGAACCGGAGTGTTAACTCCCCTCTCCCCCCAAGTTTCCTGATGACCAGTCTGAGTCTGCACATCCAATCTGTCTATGGATGAAAGCAGCATTTCCCAAACTTCAGACATTCACCTACCAGCTTCATGATTTTGCTACAGTATATATTATCTTTACTATTATTTATTTTATATGTTCTTTGAATATGTTCTTTTTTCATACATTAATTTAGCTTCATTCTAAGCAATGATATCCACTCAGTCATGAATGAAATGTGCATTTTCCCTAACACATTGAAATAAATATGTATCTACTGGAATTACAACATTTGTCTCTGAACTATTCCTCAGAAGAGTAAAGTATCTTTTGCTGCATCTGGAGAGATCTCACACATGCATTCCAAGAAATTCTAGTCTGTATCAGGTTACTAGGTGTGCGTGATCAAATGAACTTAAGGGATGCTAACTAAAATGAAGTTAAAGAGCTTTGAGTTTTATTAATGGTTAGACACCTCAGAGCTTTTCATAAAATACAGAATGAAACCTTCCCAAGGAGGGAATATGGTGCTATATTCCAAAATTTATCTGACCATGAAATCTTTTTTCCTAGGCAGAATCAGTATTGAAAACATATTCTAAGCTGTATTAATTTTCTAAAGGCAACAGCATTTTTGAACTCATGTCATAAAATATAGATACTGCACATAATAATTTACCCTATATCCCTATTAGAACATTTAGAACATTTTTATGATCAGAAAAAGAGTGGGTAGAAAATCTTATTTCCTCTTGTCATTTTTAAAAGTTCAGTCTCTTGGGTAAAGCTAACTTACCTTGTTGATAATGAAACCATGCAATAACATTGGGCATTCTAAAAATATATTTATCACTTCTAATAAGTCATCCAAATCTCCTCCTACATTATTGATTGTAGTCGATGACACATAAGCTTTTTATGAAGGTTTGTTTTAGTTGTGTTGGGGACTTCTTGGTGGAACTTCAAGAGTGACAGGTCCATAACATCGCATAAGTCTGTGGGTGTGACCATGAGAAAATGTGTACCTGATTTACCACACAGGCATTTTCTTTCTCTCTCTGTCTCCTGGCCCTTCCTTCCTTTCCTCCTTCCTTTTTCTCTTCCCCACTCTCCTCCCTTTCAAATGCTTTGATAAAAAACTTAGAAGGATTTTTCTTTTTTTTTTTTTTTTAGGATTTTTCATCTTTAGGCATTTTTAAGTATTTTTGTTACCCCTGGGGAAAACATCCCATAGTTACTAAAGTAATGCTATAAAGCCAAAGTTTACAAATATTTCTTTTCCTGCATTTTCAAATAAAATTAAAACTAAGATTCAAGGCAGAGAAAATGCTGTAATGCTCCTTTTTCAGTATTCCTGTCAATGATATTAAACATTAGTAAGGAAGAATGCTGATGTGTTATGATAAGATATTCCTTCATCCAATCATGCACCAAGTCACACACTATCTTGAGTATATTATTCTTAAATACTTTTTTCCCCCAACAACCAAAGTCTCAATATATTCTTCCGGCACACACCATGGAGGTAATCAAGTTATCCAGTGAATTTTTATTCTATAGAATGCTTTCTGTGCTCTCATTCAAAAATATGTATTAACTAGAAAATTGTGTACTGAGATTCCTCACTGAATGCTGGAGGCCAGGAAAACATTCAGAAAAATGACTCAGCTCTTGTGAATGTCCACATTAAATACTAATGCATTGTAACCGAATTGGCCTGAATAAAGTCAATTCTCTGAAATATTTAAGGCAGATACAAACAGACTAAAAACTGAGTTTCCTCCTCTCTCTGATTCTAGAGTCAGTTCTGCCCTGCACTCATAATAAAGAAATAGTGTTTCACTTTTTCAGTATAGGAGATTAAAAAAAGGGTTCAAAGTGTATAAATACAATTTAAAATGTCTCCTATTTTATATGAGTTGGAATTATTAAAATATACAAGCACCAAGAACAAAAGATAAAGTAGAAATAATAAATAAATATTTGATCTTTTAGGGAAATATTCCCCAAAGGGCTCTGTTATTATAGCCATAGGTTTCAAATAACTCAATTGTCCAAATACTCATTTTTGTGTATGTTTAAACATCATAAAGTTCACTAAAGTTAGGTTTTAATGATTGCAATTAATCTTTTTTTCTTCAATTATTTGCCCCCTACTTGGCTTCCAAAATTGCATTTAAGGTACTAGAAGATTTAAATGGTTCATAAGAGTTGAAATCTTAAATGTCATGGTTGGACTCAAATACAATCTGTTCCTACCTCTTTAATTTGTGACCTGCTGCTCCCTGAATAGGGCTTCCCTGATAGCTCAGTAGGTAAAGAATCTGCCTGTAATGCAGGAGACCCTGGTTCGATTCCTGGGTCAGGAAGATCCCCTGGAGAAGAGATAGGCTACCAACTCCNTATACAGTCCTGAGATAAAGGATTGAAGCAGGTAGCTAATAGCATTCTAAACAATTTTCTACTTCAAGCAGAATCTATAGAAACCCAGGTTGTAGTAAATCTACAAGAGAGGCGTCAGTCATGAAGTGCTGACAAGCACAAGACAGAAGCAGAGGAAATGAGCATCAAAAAATAAGTCAATTTTATTGTTGTTATTGAAATTGCACATTAACCATAAAATCAAGACTACAAACAGGTACATCCTAAAAAAGAATCATGATTTAGTGTGTATAAGTTGCTATACACAGTTTTTGATACAGATTTACTGCTTAGTTTTAATAGATCAATACATTATTCTGTTTGCAACTGAAACTGCTTATTTTTAATTAAAAAGTATGAGAAAGCATTCAAAATAAAGTACATTACTCTACAAAAATAAAACATCAATTAAGATTATTTCAAGAAAACCTAAATCACTTCCTTCTCTGTCTTATTAACGAATGATTAACCACAAACTATTAGCAACCACAGTCTTGTGCTCAGCAGTATAAATGACATTAAAATTTAAAACACAGCCCAAGTTATAAGCAAAGAATTTTTAATTCAGTGATTACATACAAACTCAAATTAGACATGCAGATGTTAGCATACACGAAGGCCAAAGGCAGCAAGTCTCTAAGTATAAAGAGAAGCTGACAGCTAACACGCAATGAGACAGAGCAAGTAAGACCACTGTGTGCCTAGTCACTCAGTGGGGCCGACTCTTTGCCATCCCACAGCCGCCAGGCTCCACCGTCCACAGGGATTCTCCAGGCAAGAACACTAGAGTGGGTTGCCATACCCTCCTCCAGGGGATCTTCCCGACCCAGGGACCGAACCCAGGTCTCCTGCACCACAGGTGGATGCTTTACTGTCTAAGCCACCAGGGAAGCCCACTGGAGTGAGCAGTCTATCCCTTCTCCAGGGGATCTTCCCGACACAGGAATCAAACTGGGGTCTCCTGCATTTCAGGTAGGTTTTTGACCAAGTGAGCTACCAGGGAAGCCTGGTTTGCAGAACAGAGAGAAGTATAAAAAGGAATCTCCTGGGCTTCCCTTGAGGCTCAGTGGTAAAGAATTCGCCTGCCAGTGTAGGAGACATGGGTTCCACCCCACATGCCACAGAGCAACTAAACCCAGCATCACGACTACTGAGCCTGTGCTCTGCAACGAGAAGCCCCCACAGTGAGAAGCCCTCTCACAGCAACTAGAGAGCAGCCTCCACTCTCTGCAACTAGAGAAAAGCCCATGCGGCAATGAAGACCCAGCACAGCCAAAAGTAAATAAATAAATAAATAAAATTTAAAGGACGCTCCCAAGAGAGTCTTAATTTGAATTATAGGAAAGCTTTTATTGTTATTCTGGATGTAAATGAGAAATGAGAAGTCAGCATTTGCCTAAGCTTAAAATGCCATGATTAACACATTAGTACAGGGATCATAAGATCAATACCGGCTTTGCAAGAGAAATGATTTCCTCAAACTCCCAAAAATCAAACAAACAAACTAAAACCCAACAAAAGTGTGCCACTAACCTCTACAGAGCAATGGAGGGATCATCTGGATAGAACTGACCACTTTCTAATAAATCGAGCTTTTAAAAGCAACAGAGATCTCAGGTGTGTTTCTCTAAAAGTGAATGCTTATGCAGATCTGTAAAACAGCACATCCAATTCTTCAATCCTCCCGCACAAATTGAATCTCAGAAAAATACAGGGAAAAAGTCAAATGCAAAAAGCACATTCTGTCAAAAATCCAAAAAGAATAAAACTAACCTTTTAAAAACAGGAAAGGGAAGCCTTCAAAAAAAAAAAACAGAGGGTACTGAATTGTTTAAAAATGTATTTTTAAGTCTTTCCTAAGACCAGTCCTTGGCAAGGGCTAAAAGATTCAATTTGGTGTTCAAAGTTGACTGGTCTGTCATTTGGGCCAAAAAGACAGAACTTTGAACTTCCTTTAACAGTCTAAGACTTATGGACACTTCATAAAATGGGCATTTCTAGTGCCACACCTTCAAGCCCAGGTGACTGTGTGGTGTGTAAGAACCCAAAGGAGTCTGTAAACAGGATCTCCAAAATTATATAAGTCCAGGCAAAACCTCATCTGGAGGATGGCCTCTTCCTCAAGAGGGAAATATATTTTATTTCTATATTTGGTAGTATTTTTTTAATGTTCAATTTGGAAAACAAAATTTTAAATGAGATGCAAGTCAGGAAAAGGAAAGCAAAACTAAATAATACTTTTCCTTTTATAGTTTGTTTGGCCATTAAAAAGTGTTTTGGAACTTCCCTGGTGGTCCAGTGGTTAAGATTCCATGCTTCCACTGCAGGGGGCTCAGCTTTCAGTCCTGGTCAGGGAATTAAAATCCTGCATGCCTTACGATGCATCCAAAAAAAAAGTTTTAATCCATAGGTAGAATACTAAAGCAAGAACTGACTGCTATCAAAGCCTAATTTGAACATACATAGTTTAGGGTGAAGTCTAAACTTTAGACTGTCAGCAGATCTTTTAAAGTCCCTTCAGCACTAATGGAATAGGATCAGAGATGAAGTCAAATCATTAACACAGCAAAACAGTTTTGAGAAGTGTATGTTGTTTTTTCAGTCATGAAAAAGTCACAAAATTTTACTTCTCAGCAACTGACCCTTTTATACTAATTGACGATTTGAGAGAAAAAGAATTTGCATTCAATTCACAGTCCTCATATTCAATATCTTCAAAATGTACTAGCTTCTTCAACTGTCCATCGATAGATGAATAGGTTAAAAAAAAAGGTGTGATATATATATATTCAACATAGTTTTGGAAGTCCTAGCCACAGCAATCAGAGAAGAAAAAGAAAAGGAATCCAGATTGGCAAAAAAGAAGTAAAACTCTCACTGTTTGCAGACAACATGATACTATACATAGAAAACTCTAAAGATACTCTCAGAAAATTACTAGAGCTAATCAGTGAATTTAGTAAAGTCACAGAATATAAAGTCAATACACAGAAATCTTTTGCACTAACAATGAAAAATCAGAGAAGGAATTAATCTCATTCACAATTGCAACAAAAGAATAAAACACCTAGAAATAAAACTACCTACAGAGACAAAAGAGTTGTATACTTAAAACTATGACACTGATGATATAAATCAAGGATGAGATAAACAGATGGAGAGATATATCGTGTTCCTGGATTGGAAGAATCAATTTTGTGAAAATGACTGTAGTTCCCAAAGCAATCTACTGATTCAATGCAATCTCTATCAAATTACCAATGGCATTTGCCCTAGAACAAAAACTTTTCCAATTTGTATGGAAACACAAAAGACCCCAAATGGAGAAAGCAATCTTGAGAAAGAAGAATGGAGCTGGAGGAATAAACCTTTCTGACTTCAGACTATACTACAAAGCTATAGTCATCAAGACAGTATAGTAGTGGCACAAAAACAGAATATAGACCAGTGGAACAAGATAGAAAGCCCAGAGATAAACCCAAGCACCTATGGGCACCTTCTCTTTGACAAAGGAGGCAAGAATATACAGTGGAGAAAAGACAGTCTCTTTAATAAGTGATGCTGGGAAACTAGACAGCTATGTGTAAAAGAATGAAATTACAACACTTCCTAACACCATACAAAAAGATATATTCAAAATGGATTAAAGACCTAAATATAAGGCCAGAAACTATAAAACACTTAGAAGTACACATAGGAAGAACACTCTGACAAAAATGACAGCAAGATCCTTTATGACCCACTTCCTAGAGTAACAAAAATAAGAAAGAAAAAAAAGAAAGAAATGGATCTAATTAAACTTAAAAGCTTTCACACAATAAAGGAAGCCATAAACAAGATGAAAAGACAACCCTCTGGGATGTTTCAAGAGAACAGCATTGAAACATGCATATTATCTAGGGTGAAACAGATCACCAGCCCAGGTTGGGTGCATGAGACAAGTGCTCGAGCCTGGTGCACTGGGAAGACCCAGAGGGATCAGGTGGAGAGGGAGGTGGGAGGGGGGACNTGTGGTCAGAGCAGGGGGAAGGAGAGACTGGGATGAATTGAGAGAGTAGCACTGAAGCATATGTATTACCACACAGCCAGTGGGAATTTGCTCTATGATGCAGACAGCTCAATCCAGTGCTCTCTGACAACCTAGAGGGCTGGGATGGGGTGGGAGATGGGAAGGAGGTTCAAGAGGGAGGGAATATACATATACCAGTTCATGCTGATGTATGGCAGAAACTGTACAACATTGTAAAGTTCCAATTAAAAATAAATAAATTAAGACATGCTAAAAAAAAAGAAAACAAATAAGCCACAGGATATGATATACAGTAAAAGAAATATGGTCAGTAATATTGTAATAACTCTGATGGAGACAGATGGTTACTAGATCTGTCGTCATTTTATAATGTATGCAAGTGTCAAATCATTGTTGTACACCTGATACTAACATAAAATTGTATGTCAACTACATTTCAATTTAAAAAGATGTACTTGCTTTTCTTCTGTTAGATTAAATGAATGAATCTTCCTGCAGAAACACCTTAGGCAAATTATATAGCTCTTTTAAAATATAATCGATTATTTTATAGGAAAATACAAAACAATTTAGCATCAGAAAGTCATATTTTTAAAACTGCTATTTATACAATCAAATCTCATTTCTTGTTAAATTAAGTACTACAGCTTTTTTTTTTAAGTTTTCCTATAGAACTAACAGCCTTATTCATTGACTTTGACTTTCATACCCTTAGACCCTCTTAAACTACAGCAAAGTTTTGGTTATACTTTTAGTTTCCTTTGTGACCAATACTTTTTAACATGAAATTCAAGGAGCTGGCCAGGCCTGATACTAATTTTGACTTGGATTTTAATAGTCGGAGAAGTTGGTATTATCCTCAGAAAGCAATCCTGCTTCACTTCTCTACCTCACCCTCCACAATGAAGAGCTTTGAACTTCCGTTGCAGGAGTTCACAGGAAAATGGCAGATTTTCTCAGGTCATGGGTTCCTCTTTTCAAATTTCAATAATTTCCTTTACTTCAATGCATCTCAGTCGGGTTTATTCAGCTCCTAGTTTCCTCAGTCCTAAAGTAAATTTAGCCTGAATATTCACTGGAAGGACTGATGCTAGAGCTCCAATACTTTGGCCACCTGATGCAAAGAGCCAACTCATTGGAAAAGACGCTGATGCTGCGAAAGATTCAGGGCAGGAGGAGAAAGGGGTGACAGAGGATGAGCTGGTTGGAGGGCATAATCGGCACAATGGACATGAGTTTGAGCAAACTCTGGAACTTAGTGAAGGACAGTGAAGCCTGGTGTGTTGTGGTGCATGGGGTCACAAAGAGTCAGACATGATTTAGCAACTGAACAACAAGTTTCCTCAAGATCCATTCTCTGAATTCTCAGAAACCTTCTCTGCTCTAGCCATTGGCCTATAGAATGTGCAGTTATCTTTTCTGAAGCATCAGAGTGCTTGAGAAACTCTGAGCCAGAATATGCTTAAAGCTTCCTGTACTGGGAATGGAAGATAACCTGTTGTTAAATAATAGCCATCTTGAAGGGAAACAAACTATACTCTGGTTAGAAGACACCACCTCTTCAGAATGGCCATTCCTGCTCTCAAATCTAAATGAAGCATTGATGACAGGTTGTAAATATCTAAGTGTATGTGCTTATTTGAATGTTTCCCTTTCTGGACAGTAAGCCTTTTCCCATTACACAAAGTTACATAAGGGTAGGAACTGTTTATTTTGTTCAAAGGATGCACTCAGAGGTTATCCTAGTCCTTTACACAAGTACTTGAACAGATGAATGAATGGCAGGCTGAAAGGAGGAAGAAATGTCTGTGACTGGGCAACTTAAGTGCAGTGAGTACAACCAGAATGAGTACACTGACAGAAGAATGAAGGCATCATGTTTGTCCATGTCCTGGGTCAACTGAGAGATCTGTGCCTGAGGATGCACGCAGGGATGTGTTTATTGGTAGGTTGGGGGCAGTGACTTGTGTGTATGTCTCTTTAGGTTGGATGTGTATGCATATAAATACCGGAAGTGAAGAGACTACTGTGAGACTAGATGCAAAGTGGAATTTGTATGGATGACAAAGGTCAAGAGGGTAAGTTCTGAAGACTCATGGTACCCTGGATTTGCCATGCATTGTGCTAGCAGACTGGCAGTTTTTGCAGGACAGGGTTCTAGTGGTGCCCTGGATAAGCTGATGCAAGTCAAGGGACCTCATAGCTGTAGCCAGTACCTGGCAGGCTGAGCCCTGTCCAAGAACAGCTTCTTTCCCCATCATATCTTGGCTCACAAAGATGCTTTTTTTTTTTTTTCTATCCATTTTTGATTGAAAATGTCCCCCTCCCAGTCTTCCTCCCCTCTGCAAGTTCCCCACACTGGCTCCCTGCTTCCAGGGAGAGCTGCATTCATTTCTTCCAAATAAAAGTGCTTTGGTTCTTATAAATATCTCAAAATTTAAAAAAAAAGGGGAACTTATTTTCTAGGAAAACCAGGTAAATTCTGTGTCTGGGTAAAATTTACTAATATCAGCTCAATAGCTAGACTGTGATTACAGTCAATATTAGGTGTACCCTTGAGAAATTATCTAATAAAGTCAACATAAGTAGGCAATAGGAATCATCTCTTTGAAAGTAATTCTTTCATTCTTATGAAGGGAAGGAAAGGGGATTGACTAAAGTATCTCATCTATTATTGTTTAGTAGCTAAGTCATGTCCAACTTTTTTGTGGCCCCATGGACTATAGCCCCACCAGGCTCCTCTGTCCATGGGATTTCCCAGGCAAGAATACTGGAGTGGGTTGCCATTTCCTCCTCCAAGGGAGTTTCCTGACCCAGGGATTGAACTCGCATCTCCTCCATTGACAGGTGGATTCTTTACCACTGAGCCACCAGGAAAGCCCAAAATTATCTGATAGATACTTTAATTCTTTTTCTGTGATTATATATACAACTAGTCTTTGGATATTTTGGGCAAGGCCCAGGCAAAATTAAGTTCTATCAAAGTAATATATACTCAACTTATTATGATGCCCTCTAAAACATCAGGGAGGATAAAAGCTTTATACATAAATTTGGGGAACATAACTGTATGTAGAAATAATAACTGTTTTTGATATGTGTCAGATATTTCCTTCATGTGGGTTACTATATTACTTAAACTTCAAAAGAATCAACTTAGTAAAAACTCCTTTTCAGTAAGGTTGAGGCAACTTAACTTACTTACTTATGACCTTGAATCCAGACTTTCTTTATCCCAAAGCCAATGATACTGAGGAAGAAAAAAAGAAGACTAAGATTCATGTGGCTGTAGTTCCTGGGCTAAGAAATACAGAGGTTAGAGATAGAGGTTTTGAGATTGGACAGATCTATATTTAAATCTTTGTTCTGCCATTTATCAATACTGTGATCTGTAATTTACTCAACCTTTCTGTGCTAGGTGGGGTGATTATTTGCAAGCAATAGCAACTGAGCATGATAAATTTAAGTAGGAAAATAATTTACTGGAAAGACAATCAACACACAAAGAATCAACAGGAAGACAGGCAGAGCAAACTCAGCCAAGGTCACACCTAATCAAGATGGTCAGGAAGCCTCAACCAGCAGCCAGTGGGACCCTTCACATTGCCACCCCCAAATGCTGTGTAGTCTTTTAAGAAATGACAATGTCTTCCTCCACATTCCTCAAGCAAATATCAGTTAGCTCATCTATAAACTGGGCCTACTACTATGTAGTAGCTTCTTCATAGGTTTCTTGATAGACAGTCTCTATCAGTCAGCACACTGTCTCACAGAAGCTAAGCACTGGATAAATTTCAGCTGGCCTGACTCATTTTTGTGCCTTTGAGCAAGTCACATAGCTTTTTTGTGCCCACCATCTCATTACTGAAGACCGATGACTCCAATCATACTGTTTTGTCAGCACAGGGTAACTGCCCAAACAAGCAGCCCCTCAAATCTCAGGGGATTCTTTCTCTTCATTTCCTTGTCCAGTGAAGGTCACTGGGATTAGAATGAGGTCCTCACTCAATGCAGGTATACAAGGACCCAGTCCCCTTCTATCTAATGGCTCTGCCATATACCGGGGCCTTGTATCCTGTTGGCAGAAAAGGGAAGATAGAGAGCACAGAGAATCAGGGTCCTTTAAGGGACCAGGCCTGAAAGTGATACTCATCACTTCCTCCTATTTCCACTGGCCAGAATACAGCCACATGAGCCTCAGCTAGCCAGAAGAAGTCTGGGAAATGCCATCCAGCTATGTGTTCAAGAAAAAATGGAAACAAGATTTGGAAAAGCATGGGTCTCCATCACACCTACCTAACATCTTCAGGGGGTTACTAAGAAGAGCACAGTTCAGTTCAGTTCAGTTCAATCACTTAGTCGTGTCCAATTCTTTGTGACCCCATGGACTGCAGCATGCCAGGCCTCCCTACATGATCTTAGTTTTCTGAATGTTGAGCTTTAAGCCAACTTTTTCACTCTCTTCTTTCACTTTGTGAATGCAATTGTGAAAGTTCCGTGGAAAGCAGTCAACAAGCTATAGAAAAAAAAGGGTGTTGATGACTAAACCAGGGAGTCTCTGTGTATTTTCTGAAGTGCTAAAATATACAGCAATTCAGGGGATGTGAGAAGAAACTAAAATATAATCAGCATGTCCATCTTCCTGTAGAAGAGACAGCTGGACTTATAAGACTTTATCTCTCCACCTGTACCTTCCAAAATGAGCAACACTTCTGTGGGGGAAGGGGGTAGACAGTTAGGGAGTTTTGGACTGACATGTACACACTGCTGTATTTAAAATGGATAACCAACAAGGACCTTCTGAATAGCACATGGAACTCTGCTCAACGTTATATGGCAGCCTAGATGGGAGGGGAGTTTTGGGGGAAGAATGGACACCTATATATGTATGGCTGAGTCCCTTCATTGTTCACCTGAAACAATCACAACATTTTTTGTTAATTGGCTATACTCCAATACAAAATAAAAAGTTTCTTTTTAAAAATGATCTCCAACTAATAAAAATAAATGGAAAAAAAATGATCAATATTAATTAAATAATCTTCTTTCTTTGTCCATTAGCCCAGTTTACAATGGGAGTGCAGTGGAAATATCTGTATGGAGAAAGAAGAGGGGAAGAATAAAAAGGTAGAAAGGTGTCATTTTGATGAGTGAAACTGTCAGAGAAGAAGGAAGCCTGAAGCAATCACTTAGTAGCGACCAGCCTCCACCGTGGTAATTCAGGCCCACATGAAGACGCTGAGGAGTCAATCACAGTACTACCATGTATAACAGCCCTAAGCACCAGAATCAGCACAAAATTTATTCTTGGAAAATGAAAATAATTAGGTGCACATTTAAAATGCACCGCTAAAAAGGGAGGGACCAAAGCCACAATCATGGACCTCTTTTCATGTCCAACATCAGGTTAATGTTATGATTGTAATTTACTAAACCAGTTGGGTGAGCACATGGAAGGCAGATGTGGCCATGGGCACTGGGTTATCTGCACTAGATAGACACCTTTTTCACCTTTTTGAGAATCTATATGGCCAGTCCTGAATGACAGAGAGCAGGTTTTGTGTGGGCTTTGCTACGCGAATGTTACCTCTTTAGGAATGCTCTAAGATCTGGCCAGCCTTGCCTCAGTATGGGGTCCAGGCCAGATCTGATTCATCCTGCTGCCTTCCTCCCAGGATCTAGCCCCTTTGTTTCCCATTCTTTTGACCCAAGGAAGATTCAACTTAGTCAAAGGGAATGTAGTTGGTAGCCTCCAAGTGGACTCTGCTTTTAAGAGTTCCCACCTTATGATGTTGACCTACAGTCCAGTAATTTAGCTAGCAGAGAGCAATCAAAAGGATCAGTCAGGCCATTCTTGGGCTAGTGCAAACCTTCAGGGAGGATTTGATGACAGAACTGAAATAGAGACTTAGAGTGTAGAGTAGGGATTGAGGCAGAAATGGCAAGAGAAGATACAAATCAATGCTTAGAATAAAAGCTTTTCATAAAATACACAAACAATGACAAGAATTGTCCACCTAATCGTGGTGATTCTTTGTTTTCTTTTGCAACATACATTCCCAGGAGAGTGTGAGGGACACTGAACAACAGTGTCCCAGTTTTCCAAATAAAGAAAATAAGATATTTGTTGGCCAAATTTTCAACTTCTACTTTTGAAGGCTAAACTTAAGTTTTAAGAATCATGTACCAAAAGAGGGTAGAGGTAAACCTCATAACAGTTTTTCAGTCTTATGTTCTGGATTCTTATTTATTTTCATAAAGCTACTCTGGAAAGTAAATGTAAATGACTAGTAAGAAAAACAGCTCTATTGGTAACAAATCCAGTTTATCAGCCATGTGTTAAAATCTCTAATCCTAATTCTCTCAACAGGGTGCCTCAACTTTTATATTTAAAATACTCTTCATCATGAAAAATTAACAAGGACCAATTCAAATTGTTCTCCATTTTAGGAACTTCAAATGCAAAGAGAATTGGGAAAAAAAAAATGTTATTAGCAGAGGGTGATTATAAGTGGAACTTCCCACCTCACCTTCAAACTGTTACTAATAACCACCTGACAGGCCGACAGTGATGCAATGTGGTCACAAAAGATTGGGGGTAGAACGTGCAGTTTCCTTTCTCAATGCTGACACAACCCTAGAGCTTACTACTCAACAGGAAGCACAGACAATACGAGTGGTAATAGGGGATTAGGGCTCTGAGAAACTGACGGATCTCCATCAGTTCTTTTTACATGGGCTACCAAATGTGTGTTTCTTTCTGAACCCCTGACATTCATGTGGAAACAATACAAACTACACATTGATGTTATATCAGTATACCCACATGGTGACTTATACAATTATGTCTTGTAATTCGCTGAAAACTGGAATGCTTTGTTTCTCCTATTACTCATTTGTTACTGTGTCACTTGAGAATAACTGGAGCACCAGATAAATTCTTAAGTTTGTACATTCACGAAATAATAAAGGCATAGTTCCCGCTTTAGCATATAAAAGGATCAAGTTATTTATCTATCCTGTGAGGAGATGCATTACGTTAAAATGCATGTATCTGACCTCTGGAAAGAGACTTTCCTAGGAACTGAAATTATGAAGGCTCACACAATCTCACTTTACGGTTTAAAAAAAAATGGTGAAGCGGTTATAATTATGCCATAAAGCTTTACAATCTTTTCTTTTTTTTTTAGTTTTCAGTTCTGACTTTAGCAAGTAAAATATTAATAAAACAGTTCTGACTGTAGCAAGTAAAATAGAAAGCAGGGAATAACGAGAAGAAGCTAAATTGTAATTCAAAGATTAAAAGGTAGGGCAAATAAGGTTTTCCAAGAGTTGACCAGTGAGGTAGTGACTGGACAATTTCTTTACTTGAAAACAATCCCAGTCGCTCTCCATCAGCCTTTCCGAGGATTCATGGTGAAGGCGTCTAAATCCGACTGTTAACCGAGCCCAGACACGAAACTCAGTCTAACCGTTCTCACGAGCCGCAGAAGTTCTCCGGAGGAGGACAAAGGTCCCCGCGGTGCCACAGGCAGCTCCGCAGTCACCGTCCGTCCCCTGGAGGGCCGCGCGCAGGCTCTCCGCAGCCGCAGGTCTCTGCCACTAACGACGGGAGACGCTGCTGTCCCGGCTCCCTTCGCCACCCCTCCCGCTTTTTTCTGCCTCTGCACTGCCAATGAACTCCTTCCGTGGTGAGAGGATGGACTCCTCGTCGTTTCCCCGCCCAACCCTGGTGCCCACTCGCCCATCCAGCCACCACGACAGTCACGCGCACCCTTACTTCTGATCCGGGACCACTCGCGCACGCACCCTATTTCTCCTCCCCCGGCTGCGAGCGCGCGCGCGCGCGCACACACACACACACACCTCGACAGCTCCCAGGTAGAGTCCTAAGCCGCTGACCTCCCTTCCCAGCACCCAGATGTTGCAACTCGGCTGAAGAAGGTGCGAGAAATAGCCCACTTGGAGAGGGAGGCAGCGAGGAAAAAAAAGATGCCGGTTTCAGAGCTGTCCGCCCTGGATGCCGAGTTCAAAGTAGCTAAGAGGGTGCACAGGAGAATACCGGGACTTCCCCAGGGTCCCCGCAGACCGCGGCCTCTCAGCACCACCTGCCTGGAGGAGGGTGGCCAAGCCTCCACCATCCCAGCCCCACGGCGAGCTGGAAAGCCGCAGGCAAGCAGCCGGTGGAGGCGCGGTGGGATCCGCGGTGGGATCCGCGCCGCCCGGGGCCCCGCCCTCCCGCCAGCAGCGCTTCCTCGCCGCGCACGGGAGAGAGCGAGCGCCCCGCCCACTTCACATCTGGCCAATGGGCGCCCAGGCCGCGCGCTGTGTGGCCCCGCCCCCGCCAGGGAAACTTGAAGCTGCAGAAAAGTTTGTACAGAGGCTGGACCGGCAAGAGCGGAGCTGGAAACCACGCAGCCCGAGAGGAAGATGAACCGCCCCAGGTCAGCGCCTCGGGCCGAGGGGACCTCAAGCTGCCCCAAGGGCGTCAGAAGCGCCCTCAGCTGTAGCCGCCAGCCCCGGTAGCCGCCCGCGCTGCCCTGGGCTGGGGAGGAGGGCGGCCCGAGCCGGGTACCCAGGCTCGTTGCCACCTGCGCGTGCCGCCGCACACCTGAGAGCTGTCCGCCCGTGGACGATTCCCGCGGGCTCCGCAAAGCTTGGATCGTCTTTGAAGAAACGAAGGAAAAGACGAAGGAAAAAAGCAATCCATGATCGGGCTTCACTGACCCACTTCGCTGCCCTTCTGTTTCTCCCAAGTTTTTGAAAGCTGACCACTGACCCCAGTTCCGGAAAACTGGCAGCCACCGAGAGCAGGCTCTGAGAAGGCAGAGGTTTGGCAAGCTCCACATTGAGCAGGGCACGACTGAGGGCAGGTTGAAGGCTTGTCCAGGACATCTGAGGCTTGACCCTGGGGGCTTACGTAACTGCAACCTCCGCGGCTTCCACAGGTGAGACAGGGTTGGGAGCACTGGGCAGAGAGCGGTGTGGGCGCCCCTTGAGCGTAGCCAGGAAATGAAGAGTGCTCTATTCAAATTATCTTCCATAACTTGTTTTCAGCGAGACTTTTATTGACTCAGAATCTGTCGGGAAAACGAGCAAGCCACTTTTCCCTTGAGATAGGTCTTGTTCATCTTGGCAGTGGAATGAGTTGGGTTGGGGAGAGGAGAGAAAGACAGTATCAACTTATAAATATTAATGCCAGTAGAGTGGTGCTGCCGGCAGGACTTATCCGGAGCCTGGAGATTTCGGTAGCTATAGTTGGTAAGTGGCTACAGTCCACAATGTTGGATCGAGTTGCTCCCCTGATCTCATCAGCATATTGTTTCTTGGGAGCGGGCCTGACACCTTTTTGCAAGTGGTAATTTCTTCTCATCGCTTCTTCGTCTCTCTCCTATTCTCCACAGACCCAGCCTCGCACTCCAAGGCAGTGTACCGTCGGCCACCACCATGACCGCCCCTGGGACCAATGCATCATCCTCCCAGGCCTCCAACCCACTGAACAGCCCAGTGACCATCCCGGCGGTGATGTTCATCTTCGGGGTGGTGGGCAACCTGGTGGCCATCGTGGTGCTCTGCAAGTCGCGCAAAGAGCAGAAGGAGACGACTTTCTACACCCTGGTATGCGGGCTGGCGGTCACCGACCTGCTGGGCACGTTGCTGGTGAGCCCGGTGACCATCGCCACCTACTTGAAGGGCCAGTGGCCCGGGGGCCATGCGTTGTGCGAGTACAGCACCTTCATCCTGCTCTTCTTCGGTCTGTCGGGGCTCAGCATCATCTGCGCGATGAGTATCGAGCGCTACCTGGCCATCAACCACGCCTACTTCTACAGCCACTACGTGGACAAGCGGCTGGCCGGGCTCACGCTCTTCGCGGTCTACGCGTCCAACGTGCTCTTCTGCGCGCTGCCCAGCATGGGCCTGGGCAGTTCGCGACTGCAGTACCCGGCCACCTGGTGCTTCATCGACTGGACCACCAACGTGACGGCGCACGCCGCCTTCTCCTACATGTATGCGGGCTTCAGTTCCTTCCTCATCCTCGCCACCGTGCTCTGCAACGTGCTCGTGTGCGGCGCGCTGCTCCGCATGCACCGCCAGTTCATGCGCCGCACCTCGCTGGGCACCGAGCAGCAACACCACGCGGCCGCCGCCGCCGTCGCCTTGGCCCCGACCGCCTGCCGGGCTTCCCCGGCCGCCTCCTCCCCCGCCCTGCCGCGCCTCAGCGACTTTCGCCGCCGCCGGAGCTTCCGCCGCATCGCGGGCGCGGAGATCCAGATGGTCATCTTACTCATCGCCACCTCCCTGGTGGTGCTCATCTGCTCCATCCCGCTTGTGGTGAGTGGCAGGGGCCAGGGCCCCACTCGGCCCTATTCCTGCGTCCACCTCCCTCCTCCATCGCCCGCTCCCTGCTCTCCCTCTCCTCGGCCGCCGGCCACCGACGTGTCTCCTCCAGGTCGGGGCTGGGGTTCCCACGCTGGGCTTCTCAGAGCAGACCCAGGCTCTTTTTAGGCCTCGTCGCTAGCGAGATGCAGCAGGTGACTTTCCCCTACAACGCCGAGTTTCTTTCCCCGAAAGCCTGGTTTCCTCTCCCTCCCGGGACAGCCCCTACCTCTGGCTGCCTGACAGTGGCCTGGAGCCTTCCGAGAACACGCGCTGCTAAACCGCTATAGTGTGACTGAGCCCCATCCTCTGGCGGAATCCGAACCGTCGGGGACAGTGATTTCTTTGGTGTCCACTCCTTACAGTAGTAGGGTTTTTAGTGTTCTGATTTATGTCCGTTTTTTTTTTTTTTTTCCTTTTGGTAGCTTATGTCGAATTTTAGAGCTTGAAGGGATATTGGATGCATTTTGGTCTAACTCCTTCACTTTACGCTGGGAGTGACTTGCTTAAAACAATCCTGCAGAACTAGACTATCAAGCTAAATTCCTTGCTCTGTGCCATGCAGTGAGTCCCCCGGGAAAACACCTCGGTGCACATGTGGCCCTCCACGGGCAAGGCCCAGAGCTTCGTTCTTTCTAGGGGCCCGGAAAGCAAGGTGTTTCCGGGGACCTGTTGAGGGCAGACTGATGCACCTGGGGTATTGAATTCACATTCTCAACTGTGAGAGGTAGAGTGCCTTTCTAGAGAGATGGGGCTTTAGAGATGGTCACCTTATTTATTGCCAAACCAAAGCTTTGCAACTTGAGATGAACCTCAGACCCATCTAACCCCAACGCTGCTTCTGTAATATGACGTCATGTCTCCCTCCTAGAACACTTCTAATTTTGGCCTTCGAAACAGTGTGTGAGTTTGGGTTTTGGTACACTTTATTTTAAGGACACCATCTTCTTTAAAATTGCCTGTGCGTTAACTTTTCAAATGTTTTAAAATGTTACAAGCAGGAAGTTTGAAAGTCTGCCTAGTTCTCCTCTCTTTGCACTAGAAACCCATGGGCAGATGCACATAATACTTCATCTAGAATTTCTCATGAAAGCAACTAGTCCTGAGTTTTTCTATATCTCAAAATACCACATTCCTGGAAGTTCTAAACTATCAACTTGAAAGTTTGTTTTGTTTTGTTTTTTTAATGCTGATTGGGACCATGAGAAAATACATGTTATAGGCTATTATTCCATCTTTTCTGTTACTAATACTGTTCAGAGACTTTAAGATAAAAATATTATATCTCATAAAATTGATATGGTATCTAATAAAATATTTTAATATAAAATATTATATAAAATTACAGATGGATAAAATTCCTTCCATCTGTAAATGGAACTCCAAGGTGGCAGAGAGCCAGTGTACAGTAGCTTCTTGCCAATTTGTATGAACAGAAGTAAATATAATTGGCCAGAAGGGCCTTTAAGCCATCCCAGGACCCAGGATAATTTACAGAGTTAATTGAGCCACATAAACATATTTTACTGTCTGTAATGGCACCTTTAGAATAGAGGGAGATTTTAGAAGAAACAACTCTCTGGCTGGGGCCTCCTTCTGTGGCCTCTGCCTTCTGTTTTACAGAACAGTAAATGCCAGAGTGAGTGGTTGTTATTTACAGAACATCCACTTTAAGGAACTGAGGAATCACAGCTAGAGGTTTAGCAACATGCACATAACTTTTAAACTGTGTTTTGGTTGGAGGCAAGCATGCGAAGCTGTTGATGACCACACAGTCACAGATGAACTGTTCTCTTCAAAGCCTCTTATGGGCTGAAATGGTAGATCTGATGGCAAAGCCATTTACCCTTTGACATTATTTGAGAAACAAGAGGCAAGAAATTATAGGACTTATATTTGTGGTTTGCAGACCGACCACATATAAAGAACAAGGATTGTCTACTCTCTGTGAGGTCAGTGTTGTGTAGTGATAGTAAGTCTTTTTACCCTACAAATTGAAAATGGCTCAGCTGAGAAGTTAACACATAGACATACCTTTGTAAGTAATAAGAAATCATACAAGTAATGGTAGCTTCAGA